TGCAGGGGACAGCGCACTGCTTCTCGCTGCCAAGACAGACGGTGGCTTCAACCCCAGACGCGACGCGATCCTTGAGCTGTTGGTTTCTCATCCACAATCGATGGTGAGCCAGCGCGACACCAAAGGCCGCTCGCTCTTGCAGTATGCAACTTTCACACCGAACCAGAGGCTGATCGCGCAGTTGGTGTGAAGCTGTCTTGATTGAAGACCCTGGAAGCCTTGGGTCTTTCTCCTTAGGTCAGAACAGGAAAGCCGGGCTGCAGAGGGACGGCATGAAGCGACCATACCACGTCCACCCACAGAGCCGGAAGTAGTTGGAATATGACTAGACTGGAAGGCCATGGTGCTATATTGAAAGGCCAATGCCCTCGGCTGTTTGAGGTTATTGGGAAGATGCCGGGCGCGACGCGTCCCACGGCCATGGGCGGGCCGACCGCAGAGTGACGGAGCCTCTCCACTTGGCCCGCCTTTCACCAACCTGACTAACCTTAGGATTATTAGACTCTTTACAACGATATATCTACACCCAGGTGCCTCAGAGGCTCTGGAAGATCTGCAGTCGCGACCAAATTCGGAGATCGAGGTTTTGTCATTTGCTAGAAATCGTGACGTGTTATACCGCTATGATTGCCTGAATTCTGAGATATATATTTCGCATGGCCCCCTAATGTTGAGGAATTTGACAAACCAGTAAACACGGCAGGATTGTGTTGATCAGGCAGATGAGTTGAACAATAATGAATACCTTTACTTCCTAGTTACGACTTTCGATGTAAGCAGACCACACACAAGAATAAGAATGATTTACAGGTCCAGGATTTGGAAAACCCGACAGGGGGTTCAACTGAAGTTGCCAAGTTGAACCCCCCAAAGCCACCATTATTGGTCAGTCCGCCATCCGGAAGTGATTGCCACCGCCTTCTTGACCACGTCAACAAAGCCTGGCCCGCCAACTGCCACCGTCGAAGCTGGTCGTCAGACCAGGGTAGCTGACTGTCCAACTGGCCCTCACATCGTCACCTGAAACGAATGTACGCATTCGCTACTCTCATCCATATTGGGACGAATCGTAGGTGCTAGCATGAAGAACCCCTCGCCGCGTTTACCGAGCTTCCCCTTGCCAACGTTCGCTCCAACGAAAATTCACGAGTGAAACAGGATGCCCGGGCTGTCGCCTCGCCCGTCACGTCTCACTGTATATTCTTAGATCCCGATACCAAAGACTCGACCAGCTCGACCTTCAATTGTGTACGATGCCAAATTTCCTCTAGATCCACGCGGAAGATGGCCCTGAAGCTGTTGGAATATCCAATTCCTGCATCCAAATGTGTTCCGCCCTGTCCTCCTCCACCCTTGATGCGTCCAAGGCTGCCCAGAGAGCCAATGTAGCCTGGCACAAGCGTGCACTGATCGGGACAAATTGGTCGGAATGGAAGTGTTCTTCCAATACAAGATTTTGTGTGATGTCAACCACGGCTGTCGCTAGATGGCAGAAATTCACGCAACAGGTGCAGTAGAACTTATTCTCCTGAGCTTGCTGATCGCGCTGGATCCGCTTCTCAGTGATTGGGTCTGGCGGGGGTTCCACGCTCTTTGCTGTACTGAGGTGTGTCTTTGTCGTCTCTAATGCCATGGTCGTTCTCCCCGCTACAAAGATCCGATGGTCTAGTGGTGTAATCTCGGGAAGATCGTCCCAGACGGGGACAGGCATAGCCCTTGAGGAGTGTGGTCTTGGTGTATCTGGCGAGCGACTGTATACACTCGATGCATTAGACGGAGGGCGGGCCATCAGTGAAGCTAGAACAGAGGCTTCTATGCGGCGCTTTGGGATCTTGTTTCGCGGCTGATCACACTTATATCACGCGCAAGCGGTAGAAAACAATGGGGTCTTATGACAGGCAGTCCTGTGGGTGATATACTCTAGTATTAATTCCTAGGGCGGGGAAGTCGGTGATTGAGCGGGCCGCATTTTCCAGTGGGCTTGGGCTAACGTCCATGGTCGCTGAGCTGAGCTACATAGCAATGACCGAGTCATCTGACTCTAGGATGGGGGGTATAGCAGTCTGGCAAAGTAACTTTACTCAAATTATCTATTTCTCCCCCACTCAGTCTTGGCAAAGCTAGCCCGATGGCCAGCCTAATTTTTGTGCTCTCTGCCGCACAAATGCACTGCTTAAAAGATCCACTGCCCGAGCATGTCTATTGAGTATCGCCAAGCTGAAAGCGCAGTATCCGTAAGGATCTCGAACCTGGAGATCAACCTGTGGGTGGCGCAACAGCCGTTCAACACATGTAGTATACCCGCTTGTAGCAGCAAACATGAGGGCCGTGAAGCCCGAGGGCCCAACCTCATTTAGTGCGATTCCACCTTGCGAGAGAAGAAGAGACAAAATATGTAAGTGTTGATTGATCACGGCCACATGCAGGGGTGACGTTCCAGACGGGGCTTTCTCATTGATCTGAATAGATTTCTGGGTCAGCAAGCTCTGAGCCGTGGCGAGCGAACCCGCCCGACACGCGGCCCATAACGGTGGAACAGCCGGACCAGGCATGGCATTGATACATATTTTCGGCTGCCTCACAAGCATCTGTAGTAAGTGAGGGCTTTGATGCTCCGCTGCTCGCGCAAGAGGGGTAAGACCGCCGTTATCGGCATCATTCAAACGGAGGCCATCCTGGTCCAAGAGCAGCTGCACTAGCTCCTCATTCTGCTGGTCCACCGCATGCCACAGTACCGTGCGCCCTCTAGAATCCTGGTGATTGATGTCAACCTTTGGATTGAGCAGTAGGGCTTCTACTATCCCACGCGACAACCTTCCCTTGAGGGGTTTGACCGCGAGAAGTAGTGCCGTATTTCGGTGGGTGCCGCACCAATTAACATCCAAGCGAGGGTCACGGGCTAGGATCTGCACTGAGATATGGTCTTCTTTTCGAACTGCGGAATGTAGCGCATTCTGCCCAAGGCGATCTTCGATGCTGACATTCACGCAGGGATCGGTCAAGTGTTGGCTTAGAATGGCGTGCTCAGCGTGTTCCACTGCGTACATCAAAGCGGACATGCCATCGGTGCATCGGGCATTGACATCCAGCGCTGGGTACCGCAACAGGCGTTCAACGATGGCAAAATTGCCCTTCGCGACCGCGGTTGACAATGGCCCTTGACCTTGAAAGTCGCAAGTATAGGACAGCCGTGGGTGATGTTCCAGCATGAGGTTAACTGCTTGTGGGTAGCTCATCTCAATGGCGAGCAGAAGCGTGCTCGTCCCACGGTACATGGAGTTGGGACTTGCGTGGTAATGAGTCAACAAAAGGCGCGCAATGTCTAGTCGTCGGTTGAGTATGGCTCGGTGAAAGGGTGGCATCTCATCGTAGTGGAGGCAATCAAATAGAGCTTCTGTGCAGATTGCTGCCATTCTCCGGCAGCAAGCGATCAAGCAAGAGATGTCCGTTTTACCAAGGATCTTGCAGATCCAGAGTAAAAGTTCAGTTGGGAGTTTGTCTAGCATCTTTCCTGTGTAGTATGAAAGCTAATGCAGTTTGGTAGGAAGGGAGGCGAAGCTTTATAACACACGCTCAAGTACACCAATCGAGAACATACTCTACCAAGTATGACCGGGCCCAGGGCTTCTCGTATGGCAGAATCATCTTTGCCAGGCTGGGAAAGGTTGATGCTAATCCTGGGAGCCCCTTTGGTCTCTGGGATGCCGTGTGCCATTCCTGGAGACACTGGTACTGGTCCTGGGAGCCTCCTATAGCCTCCCCAGAAACCGCAACGAGGATCCCGGTTCTGAGTTACAGAAATTCAGGTGCGAAAATCCGTCGCCACAAAAAACTTTTATCTTTAATCCGGAGACCGTAGATATACATCTTACCCAGGGAGGACCTGGTGTGCTTTATCTAATCTACATAAGTAACACAGACTGCCTCACCTAGCCTGCGTATCTGTCCGCCATGCATTGAAAATGACATCGGAAGACCAAGTCCAGTCGATCCTGATGTCCGCTCTCACTCTGACCAGTATCATGAGGCTGTCCCTGATAGTTCGTTTCCAACGGCCCTGGCATTTCTACCACCTCGACCTTGCTTTATCGGCTGCGTCTAGTATTTCCTTCGTTGTACTTTCCGGTCTCCGCTGGAGCGAAATCTATGCAGTCTGGTGTCACACACTGTTGTGGATGACGTCGGCTTTTCTCACCGGACAAGTGGTATGTCTCGAAGTCACCATTCTGGCGCAATGAGCTGACTCTTCAGTTTCTCCGGGTCTATTTCCAACAATGTGAGAACCCATTCACTTTGGTTGTCTTAGCAGACGACGGGAATCTTACGGTCTGTCTAGAGCAAGAAACCATGCTGTTTCTACGTTGCCCTTTCAGGGCCGACAAGGGGTGGGAGTGTTATCTTCGAAATTGATACAATCTGCAAATATGACACAGGATGCTGCGGTAGTTAGGGGAAGCGGCAACTTATTATTTATGGGCCACAGCGAGCACTTATCCCAGGAGTTATGCGTTACTCCATGCCCCGACCGCTCGGCAGAAAGAACATCGACTTCATGTGATGGCAAGCGCGTCGAGGAACCGACCAATTAGAACCTTCGAAAACTCCGGATATGCCATCGGAACGCTCGGCCAATTACACCAGCCCGGTCCCGCCGGTAACAAATGAGTCTTCACGATTGACTCCACCCTTAGAGTCGCACGACTTGAGGCTAAATCGTTTCATCGTGGCTGAGTATAGCTGACCCTGGAGGGTTTCCAATTCCTAGAAAAACAAGCAAGAAGCCCTCCGAGGCATTTATTAGTCATTTCCAACGACTATTTAGCGACGTAACCCAACAACCTGACGATTCCGATGGACACCAGGGTCCGCTCCAGCAGAAATCCGATGAACAGCCGGGTATAGGAAAGTACGGAGGTGATGTTTCTCGAATGTCTTGCAGCGCCAATACTCATTCCCATGCACACAATGCAGTCATACGTGAATCCACCACAAGAAACCAAATGGGCAGCGGATCTCTACCTGAAGGCCTCATCTATAACTCGGCGCCGGATGGAAATGCAGCCAAGGAAGTGACCTCTTTTGAAATGCCTATGACCAACGAATCTGATGGTCGACGCAATAGGTAAACCTTTCTTTTTAAATTCTTCAGCGTTTCCAACCCACTAAACAGCATAGGCTTCGTTTCAATATTGCGTTAGTCGTTCCCACTGCTATGGTCGAATACCCTGGAACTTGCGAATCATATCTCAACAGAGGGCAGACATACACTCTCAGAGTGATAGACACATTGTCATTTGTAACATCTTCCCGGTCTCGTCAATATCGAACCTTTGTACGCGTTTCCTTTGAAAATGAGGACCAGCGATCAAATTCGGCATCTTCTTGGCAGTTGTGGATTGACAGCCGAGGTTCCAGTGAGGCACATCTTGAAAGCAGGGCACTGTTAGCAGTGGAATACATTCACACGGAGAGTGCTGAAGCCAAGACGGATTACGAGATTCAGCTCGAGAAGACATCTGTTGATGGGTTTTGCGTTATTAGGTCTGCTAGGCCGACTGCTAGCTTGGTTCACTGCGCTATCTTGATGCGATTCAATTTCACGTCAACGGATTTCAGTCACTCGAAGGGCGTGAAAGGCATCCCTTTACGGCTTTGCGCAAAAACCCAGGCTCTACCTTCGGATGACCCTGGTATCACACGTGGGCCGGAGTTATGCTGCTGCAAAATCAAAGTCTTTCGAAATCATGGTGCTGAGCGGAGATTGGCCAATGACAATACACGCGTGAAAAAGGTCATTGAAAAGCTGCAGAGAGAAATAGCTCTATTACAGGCAAATTCTGCAATTGGACTAGACAGGCGAAAGCGGAGGCGCATGTCTCTTGATGGTGCAGCTGAGCCATCATCACAGAAGGACTGTCTCCTAATGGAATTAGCTAGGAAGCAAGATATGCTACGGTCAACTCTTTCAATCAGCGTGTTGAATCTACGTTGTGATAAAGAGGATGATCCCGACCTCTTTCCGGTGCAACTGCCTGCAAGGAATACCCCCGCCCCAACCCAGAACAATGCTTTGGAAGCTGCCGAAGCTTCTTTTCTCACCCCTGTTAGTGCAAAAGCCATTTTAAGAGACTCAGTGTCTCAAGAGCGCAAGGAGCACGAATCAAGATCGTGGATGTGTATAAGCCCACCGGTGACTCAAACGATCAGAGTCTGCCGAAGCAAGAGCTCAGTATGTTGCCATCTTCCATCCTTGATAACTTGCTTATCCTTATTTACCCTGATATGATAGTTGCCTGCTTCGTCGTCCGTTTCGCTGACGACACGAGCGATCTTTACCGGGTTATCTACTTGACAGAGCGTACAGTACAGGACCTAACGCGCAAAATCTGCGAAAGGCGCCATATCGACCCGTTGCATGTTGTCCGAATCTTGCACATAAATAAAGATGACTTAAAGATTGTGGTCGATGACGACGTTTTTCGCGAGCTTCCAGAGGGCCAGAGTATGATTGTGGAGATAGACAGCGGCCAGAGTTTATTTGGCAATGGGGTCGCGGTTCATCCTGCGGTTGAGATCAGATTAGAATACTGATACACACTCACAATGGGCCTGTTGTATTTTTCCTTCGTGACCATTCACATAATTGTACATATTTGTATAAATTCCCTTGATCGCCACTTCGTAATGCTTTTAATCCTATGGCATAACAGCTATAATATTGAGCTCTGGTGTGGTGTTTCTTCAGGTCTATGGACTGCTAGAAGTCAAGGTGGCCCCTTCAGCCTCAGCTGGAATAATTTTGAGCTATCTAATAAATCTGACATACCTCTATATGTAGAGAGCCGCTCATTTCCGAACCAGTGAGGCTCAGCATGCATTTTAAATTCAAATATATCGGGGAACTGCAGTCCTTCAAACGGTCTTCCATGGTTCCGTGCAAAATAACTCAGTCAGCTCGATTGGATGCCACGGAATTCGCTTGATTGCATCAGATCCGACGGAGTCTAGCTTAGTCGAACTATCGCCAGGAATGTGCGGCAGCTTATTGAGCCTTGATTTTCCTTCCACAGTAGGCATGTCAACTTCACCATGTCTTGTTTGCTTGAAAGAGGAATGGAGGCTGTTCAAGAAGATATGGAATAGGTGATTGGAATGTGGCTGGAGAGTGTCTTAAGACTGCGAATATAATCTCTGGCTTCCATGGCCGCGGAAGAGCAAAGTTCGGTCCATTTGAGCATGTATAAGACCTCCCGAAAAGGGTGTTATTCAAGGTTCAGGCCAATGTTGACCCTTATGAAAGGGGTGACTGTTTTTAGGATTGACGAACCTATTAGTTCATACTTAGGTTTTTCAAATTACAAGGATGCTCTATATAATCTGGGTGACCTCCAAATTATACCTCAATATTATTACTGTGATAAAATATTCTTAGAATGTCAATCTTCTCAGACATTAACTTAGTATTTCCACACCCTGAGCGTCTGGAATCTCTGGATAAGACTGAAACGCATCGTGGGCGCCTTGCCAATCGTATGATATTTTCTTCTTCATCAAGACACCGACTCCATAATATTACAGGATCTTGAGCTATGAAAGCTTGCCTAATATCGGAGACAATGCCAGCTACTCAGATTCAACCAGGTAGTTATCTGCCCGCGTTAAACGTACCCGGGAAAAATGCACAGGAATCGATAGAAATAATTCCCGGGATGGGTCTATTCGCGAGAGTGTCTCCGTATCTCCAGTGGAACTTGACTTGACTTGCGTTAAATAACCTACCGGATATCTCTTCACAATCGAGGGTAGAAGTCCTAGTTCTGAGTCTATGATTCATTGGTGAGCGCCCGGTATCACATTAGTCAACGATCTACCAAATGGCGGCTCAAACTCTGACCGAAGTCCAATCTATCTTCCTTCAATCATTTATTCCTCCGGGTCTCAAATACCCTTTCTAACCCAGGGTTTTACATCGGCCTCAGTTACTACAAAACGCGATTCAGAGGCCATATGCTCGTGAGACTATCTCGTCATTTGTTCAGAAGTATGCGAACATTCTTGCAGATTGTCCCTCTCTTGCAATATCCCTCTATGCCCACACATATTTCAGTTTGTCCCTGAATATTGCAAGCAATATTTCCCTGGTGTTGCAGCTTACAATTTTTTTTCTAGATATATTTTCATATACCGATGGTGATTCTACAGCAGAATCTTCTGGGCTCATTAGGCTTAAAATCGCAGACAGACTGGTCAAATCGTGACCTCTCACAGAAAAATGCTGGGATTGATAAAATCATCAAATTGGACAAAAGAAAGACGAGGAAGAGAATTAAATACTTTTGCTAGGTATAAATATGTCAATAATTGCAAAATCTTCGCTGACTCAGGTCATAAGGTGCTGGCGAATCAGGAAAGTCAACCATTATCAAGCAAACGCGTATCATCTACATGAATGGGTTTTCGGACGAGAGCGACGTCAGACTCGCGCGACTATATTAGCAAACTTGCTTGATGCTTTCAAAATATTGCTGGATATCGTGGCCACAGAACGACTAGACTCCGGATGTGAACGTGCTAAGGTAGCATTATCGAAAGCCTCACTCTGGTTACGCCTTTACTGCTGACATATTCCGTCTTATTCTAGCAATCTGCCGACTTGCTCGCTATAATGGAACCTAAGATTTTGTTCATCTGGAATCCTCACGATGCATCCATCTTCACTGAAATGAAAACTCTTTGGCAAGACCCCGGGGTGGAGGTTGCGGTTTCGATAAGCCGCAGTCTTCCTTTTCATGACAATATGTTTTATTAAGTACGCGAATTTGGCGCTGGCTTTATGATGGAGGTTTTTGACGACTGTGAAAGTCTTTACCATTCCATTGATCGCATTTCTGTGCCCGAATGGGTTCTTAGCGACCAAGATATTCCTAGAGTACGACTCAGGACCACGGGAATCTCCGAGATCTTCTTCGACATAGGCCATATGACCTAGTCTATGATTGACGTGGGTGGACAACGCTCAGAGCGCAGAAAATGGATTCATTGCTTTGAAGATGTCGATTGTCTGATTTTAGTAGCCGCTGGCTGTGATCAATGTCTGGTCGAAGACCACAATGCGGTATGTCTGGATCATTTTATTTTCCGTACACAGATACCTAAACAGTAAACAGAACCAAATGCAAGAAGCAATGGTGCTTTTTGATTCATTTATAAACGGCAGATGATTTAAACAGCAACCCGTCATCATATTCTTTAACAAATTTGATTTGTTCAGGGACAAGCTCGCTGTTTCACCAATATCTGCCCATCTTCCCGACATCAACTGCTCAGAAACAGATAGCATTTCCGCTGCGCATTATTTTGTTCGCTGTCTCCAAGAACTCAACAAAACACGGGATTGGCTGGTTTACGAACATCACACAAATGCTACTGACACTGGGCCGTTGAAGACAACGATGAATTCAGTACACGATATTGTTGTGAAGAAAAACCTCCGGTCCCAGGGCCTCCTTCTATGACTGCCCATTATGATCATGTCTCTCATGCCATTCTCAAAGGAGACTTTGGCATTCAGTTTCTGGCCACATAGGAAGTGACTTAATCTTCTGAGAATCCTTGTCGAACTGACAGGGCGAACGAAGATGAGAAACGCTTTGTTTTAATCTTGAAATCGTCATCTTTATCAGAAAGTCCATAATGACAAATCAATTGACTAAAGAACTAAATACAATTGTCTAGCTGTAGTTGGTCGGGCTTCCACTCTTTTTGCAACACGTGCCGATCGTCTGATATCTGCAGGGGGTTCCCACTGATAAAAAGTCTTTGTTGGAGTGAATAGACTCTTGTTCGAGTGAGGAGCGCGAGAAAAAGCGATTGCTTAGATCTTAGACCTTGGAGAATTTACGAAAACAGCGAACTCGCTGACTGTCTGTCCAAATTTATAGATGTCATGGTGAACAGAATGCTAGGCTCACGCGGCAGACAGAGGCGAGGTCACAATTTTAGATGGAAGACGCCTTTGCCGCCGAATAAGACACCTCTTCCAAAGATGCCAAGGCACACTACGTACTGGCATGACCGGAACGAGTTACCCGCAGTCCTTGCATGTGATAACTTGCTTTTCTCCAACTCTTGAGACATTCCACCGCACGCAATACACATTGAGGAATGCTGGTTTCCAATTGTTCGACCGCTCCAAGGCCAAGGCAGAAACCGAACTCTCAAAATAGATGGTGCATACTGAAACGCAGCTCAACCACCGCCGTACCAGCCAATCCTAGGAATGCAGCTTATGTCTTGGTAGAATCGCGTGCCAGCGAGCGCCGGCTGCACAAACAGATCTCATCATCTCTACCGATAAAACGTGTTGCCAATAAAGGTTCTGGTCAGAGGGAGCGTATGAAAGCGAGTATCGGGACGGGGCAAGTTTCCAAATCGATCGCGCGACTGGGGGCTCAAGGAGAATGGACGAACGACATTCGTTTGATGTTGTCGCTTTGCGTTTCCCGGGATCAGCCAGTCGAGTCGGAATCAAGTCAACCGTCAACAATATTTCCAGTCGACACCAACGACAAAATCATATCTGAGCTGGCCTCCCGATGTAACTTGATGGATAGACCGGATAAGCCACTGACAGCTCACGCGATTCGTGAGCGGTATATCATGATCACTCCAAGAAGAAAAATAGATTTGTGGTAAGATTTAATCCCCCAAGCGTGTATCGGAAGCATACGCACCTGCCAACGGCTTAGCACTGGTCAGCTGGCCAACACCTCAGACAGCAAACTTGCAAATGGGCGTCGCCACGAACTGTCTCATCTCTGGGGCCGCCCTCGGAGGACGAAGTCCCTCCAAAAAACCGTGGTGGATTGATGTCTGAGCCGTTCTCCAGGTTTGGCAGCAACAAGAGCTGTCACAGCTAACCGGCTTGTCAAAGTGTATTTGGACGGGGCGCCGTTAACTCTCACAACCCCTCCGGGCGGTCGGTTTTGTAGAAGAACTGTGCGCACGTCAGGGTCGGACTCGAAGCCATTCACTGTGTCCCAATTCTGATTCAAAACAAGGTCTTAACCAGCCTGTATACATTTAGCAAGAGGCAATCAGTAGGAATAGCTCGCTCATGCAATCAGATTTGCTTTTTGTTCCAATTTTTTTCTCGATCTTCCCAAATCTCATCGACTGGAATTCCAAAACCTTCATCTCTAACATATTTGAGCACGGCTTCATCAGCCTGGGCGTCCATAGAATTCCTTGGGCCCGGGCGTCGGCGGTTCTTTTCAAGAAAGCAACTTCTGAGAGTATATATCGTGAAATAGACAGTTTGCTGAATGAATATGGGCAGGCAACTCAATGTTTGGGCCTAATCGAGAGTCTGGATCGAATGGGATGCGTACGAAGGAACGTCAGTAATCGGTGTCGGCGTCTCGGCGGCCTAGAAGTATAATATAGTGAGTTCAGGGTCAAGTCTGAGCAGAAATAGGGTAATATACCTATTCAAAACAGAGTCCCTTTGAGGTTAAGATGATTCTCGTTACCGAAGGGGGGAAAAGTGGCATACATAGTGGAGAGCAGCCATCTGACTTGAATCCCTGACTAAGCACGGGAACGGTATCCGCGAACCTTTACCCTCCCACGTGATATATTTCATCCGAAAATAGTACCCGCAAAAGTGCGCTGTTATTCGTCGCTTAATTAATGATGTCACGGATCCCATGTCTCACGATCGGCACTCCTTAGAGCAACGGAAAATTCCATTAGCTTCAAGGGCCACCATCCCTTTCATTGACCACCGGGACCCCAGCGGGTTATTTGCGCAACATGGCCCTCCATTTTCACCCAAACGCCTCAGCACAACAGCTGGCCGATGTCATTCCGCATGGATTGGCAATTCTAGATCGCAACCTTAATATAATCTCCGAGAACAAAAAGTTTCGAGTTCTGATTCCTTTCTCAAATGCTAATTTTCAGACTCGCTGGTTACAAGCAGTGCACCCAGATGACGTTAGAAGGGCGAATGCATCGCTTCAAGAATGTATGCAATCTGAAGCAGCTATGCGAGCAGAGTATCAAATTCGAGACCAGGAAAATTGGTGTGCTCTGACTTTAGACTCCCTGCTTGCGACCGGGCAGAGTTTCGGCCTTGGTGGCAATGGTGGCTTCATCGTCACGGTTTCGGATATCACTCCCGAGAAAAAAGCCGAGTTATCCCAAAGAAAACTTGTCAAGGATGCAGAGGAGCATAAGCAACTCCAAGAAAGATTTATTGATATGATCAGTCATGAAATACGGAACCCCCTATCGGCAATGCTCCACTGCACTGAGGATATCATGGAGGCAACGCTTGCTGAAGAGCATCATACATTGTCGTTTTCCCGCATCAAGAAGTCTGCAGAAACAATCAGTCTTTGCATCTCCCACCAGAAAAAGATCCTCGATGATGTCCTTACGTTTTCGAAAATTGACGCATCTATGCTGCTTCTGTCGCCCCGAAGAGTTCAACCAAAGTTATACTTTAAAGATCCGATCTCTCTTTTTCATCCCCAATTTTATAAAAACAATATTCAATTTGACTACCAGTCTGACAAGTCATATACGGGATGTGGAGTGGACTGGGTAGTCGCAGACCTGGATAGGATGAGCCAGGTCCTCATCAACCTTCTCTCAAATGCCATAAAATTTACAGCCAAATCAGACGACCGACGAAGAATACGCGTATCAATAGGTGCTTCACAAGACCGGCCTTCATCATACCCACCAAACGTTGTATTTTTTCGATCTGGCGAGACCGCACTCAGCCTCGATAAGACATCCTCGCCTGAGTGGGGAGATGGAGATTATGCTTACATCATGCTCGCAGTGAAAGATACCGGGATCGGCATCAGCAATGATTCTCAGATGCGTCTTTTTGAAAGATTCAATCAAGCTACTCCCAAGACGGAAAAAATATATGGCGGCTCTGGTCTGGGTCTTAACGTCAGCAGAAAGCTTTGCCATCTTCACGGCGGCGAAATTGGTGTCAGTTCCAAAGAAGGCCAAGGAAGTACTTTTGGATTTTTCTTTCGTGTGCGCAAGACAACGGGTAATTGGAAAGACAACCTTGGTACCAAAAACATATCGGAATTCGACAAAGTATGCTCCGATATTCAGTCTCTAAGTGTGCAGCCTCACAAGGGTGGAGAGCTGACTTCTGAAGTTCGAATCCCACGCGATCCACCCGAAAGACACATTGAAGAACTGAGCCAGATAGCTTCTCCTGACGAACGAACGAGGAATACCCGTGTCATCGCACAAAAGGCAATTGCTCGTATTGGTGAAATTGATCTAAAAAACACTATTGTTCGAAGCATACTTGTCGTCGAAGACAATATTATCAATAGAGAAATCCTATCTAAGAAATTACGTTCCCTAGGATTTCGTGTTATTGAGGCAACAAATGGCTTGGAAGCTCTTGAAGTCTTCCAAAATCAAAGAGCTGATTGTATTCTTATGGACCAAGAAATGCCAATGATGGATGGAAACGAAGCAACAAAACATATTCGGGCACTCGAGAAAGAAAGTCAAAATCACATTCCGATCCTAGGTGTGACAGCGAATGCCAGACTGGCTCAGAGAACAGAAATGATTGAGGCCGGGATGGATGATGTAATACACAAGCCTTTTCGGACTGAAGAAATCATTGCAAAGATCAGCCAGTTCGTTCCAACAAAACTAGAAATGCAAACAGATTGATCTTTTCAGGGGAAATGGAAGGAATATTAAAAGAAAAAGAAAGTTACTTCAATGTATGCTATGAAAATTATCCTGCTTTGGCATCCACCATGTCCACTGAAGACCAAGATTTGAATTTGAATTATCCACTGTGGATGTATGAAACCTCGACTTTGTGCAAAGACATATCGACAGCCAAACAGGAGCAATTGCTTTTGTCGATGATTCCACTGCATAGGTGACAGGGCAAAACGCCCAGAACAACAGGTGAAATATCTAAGCAATTATCAAAGAGGCACTAGACTGGAAAAGGCGGAGAAAACCGTCATCATACACTTCGCATCCAAGACCTCCAATTTAGATAAGGAGCTCTTTACTATCAGAGAACAGGCCGTTGAACCCAGAGAACGCGTGAAGATCTTGGGCGTCCTGGTGGACACGAGACTCAAATACGAGCAACATATCGCCAGGGCAGCCTCGGGCCTAGAAGCCGCAATGGAGTTCCGACGACTCCGAGGCCTATCCCCAGCGACACCACGGCAGTTGTTCTCATCGACTGTGGCTTCAGTGGTGGACTATGCCTCTGATGTCTGGATGCACGCTTTTAAGGATTAGACCGAGGTATGAGCGCAAGCAATTGTAGGAACATCTCTCTCCGTGACGACCAGCATGGCAAATGCAGACAGCAATCCTCTCCGCGGAAATACCACTCGGATCAAGAAACTCAGGTGATACCACGGTTCACCGTTATACCACGTAGCAGACGCGCTGAAAAGCATCCAGATAGAATCGCTGGAAACTATCAACCCGTTCATATTACCACCATCGGACGCACGTGTGCAGACTGGTGTTGAAGCAGTTCTCGAGTCTCCGACTGAACCAGGCGGGTCAATGCAGGTTGCATTCAGCAGCTCGGCGCGGATTGAGCTGGTCGGATTTGGAGTGGCGATCGAAAAAGAACCACCTCGCTATCGGAATGTGAAACTGAAGGCCTTTCCCGGCACTTTGGGCACAAGGAAAAAGCAAAATTCATTCCCTGCGAAGCTAGCAGTAATGGCCATACATAACCGTACCCATGGCCGCTTTAGTCAAGGAATTGAATCATCCATAGGACGAAGCAAGGCTCAACTGACTGTTGTACTTCAAAGGGAGATTGATTGTTATTGTCATTGAGAGGGAAATATGAGGCTATATATACAATTAGAAGAACAAACTGTTGTGATATGAGGTTGGTGCAGATCAGGAATCAAGCCGAACCATCGGAATGAACTCCGTGGTGTCTATACAGAAGACCAAGTTGATTTCCAATCAACTTGGCTACACGTTGTATATATAGCCTCATCCTTCCTCCGAGAGTAAAAATAACAATCAATCTTCCTTTGAACTACAACAGAAACATACTGGAATACAGAGTGCTCCTAGGAGCTGATATTGAAATCCTAAGCCTCAAAAGATGGCCATGACTAAACTTCAAACGATCGATAAGACCGCTTCAGGCCGAATTATTTAAGAGTCAATAATATCCCATCCTCTCGCCTTCTTCTTTAGCTCCGTCATTCTTTTTTCATTGCAACCTCCCCACTAGTAAGGCCTAGCAGTGATGCATCATAAGCTTTCAAGCGTATCAGAGAGACCTATTGCTCCAGACACCATCCATCATCGGCGTACGTGTCAACGTTGTATTACTACTCAAAATCCCCCTTTTCAAGAAATTCACTAATGGGCAAGCTTAGCTCAAGGGAGCAAAGAATCGGAGAAAGGCTTTAGATCCTCAAATCCATCAAACCAGGATTCTGAGCACACTACATATATTTTGAGGCCATCCGGCGACCACTCTCTTCCCATTCCTGTAGCTACAGAGGTAGCAAGCTCTGTTGCCAGCTCAGTGGAGCCACTTTCTCCTCGAGACTTCATGGGAGCTGGAGAAAAGAACCAGGATTTACCAAATAAGAGAAAGAGAGCAACAGAATCTCCAAGCCAAGCACGAAAATTGGGAATCTCCCAAATGCACCGAAAGAGGCATCCAAGATTGTCAGAAATCAGCACCAAAATGATTCACGATACGATTCACTACCTGCAAGCGGTAGCTGATCACATCTCGGCTCCCGACACCACTTCCTCCAGGGAATGGGCCACAATGCATTTCGCCACGCAAATGCTCCAGAGCAGATTCGAGCAGATTCTTGAAATGGAAGAAATAGAAAAAGGCAGTGCCTTTGGTCGCAATGTCGCGAATGTGCGACCAGATGAGAAGTGCCGTAAGTGTGCGGCTGCGGACGAAGACCTGCTGTATGACTGAGACACGTAAATCTTTTCCTTACTTGGCTGGTGAACTCCTGATGCCATGACTAGCCCTTGCAAGGGTGGATCAAGCAAAATGTGATAGTTTTCTTAATTGAGAAACTTTATATGCCTTAATACATAAGCTCATCAAATATTGGGGTTTCAACCAGAGAGGTTGAAGAATCTCCCGTGGATGTGACTGGTGCTAATGGGTATGAAATATTCATATCCTTTCATTTAGGAGGGCATGTAATTTATATTTGGGTTTGACAGTCCGACTGATATCGTGAGCCACACTGTGACCCACTCCGATTGATCTAAGGGCTTTTCTAGGAGCAAGATTTCATATCCTGTCAGTGGTCGAGAGTGATCTAAATTACAATTTTTAAGGGAAGAAATCAAAGAACTATAACCTAATCCACTGTAGGCAACTTCGCGAACGCATAAAATCGATCTGCCACCATCCCATGTAATTCTATTTCTAATCAACATCTTGAACGTTTCGTGCGCGGTATCAATGACTGTCGCATTCTTCCCCACGAGGTGTGCAGAATAAGCAAACACGATCGCCTCGTTACCTCAGACTGACAATCTGATGAAAGCCATTTGAAATACCTTTGCAGTTCTGATTAGCGGCCCCACTCTTCATAGGGACATGCTTTTGAATTGTCCTGTACCACTCCGGGCTTGTAAATCGGTGGATTATAGTCAGTGAGCAGAGATCTATCAGCCGAGGTGATATTGTGGGCTCCTGCGTAGAGATGGTGATATCTATGATCATCACTAAGACGATTCCCCGCTGAAAACCGGCTTAATCACATTACCTTGACCATTCTCGAACCAGTGACGCCCTGGTAGAGACGCTACCACTCCAAAATATCAGCATCAACTGCATCAAGCGGGATGTAGCAATTTGGACCAAATATTCGAGCTCCAGTCTCGAGAGATGAGGCTTGTGCTCACAGGCAATCTTTTCTTCAGGTGTTCTACGGTTATAGCCGTGCATAAAACCGGCTATGAAAATTCTTTGGAAATATAATGATTCAGTGCAGTGATAATATTTGCAACATCAGGCCTTGTCCGCTCGCCTGCATTAAGTTCATCTAATGACTAATCTAAAAATCGGTACGCAAAACTTGGCTTCTTCACTTCTGGATGGAAGAGCAATACTAGTCTCTACCACCGGGAAGAGGTGCCTACACATTGTTAGAGGCCCCTGGTTTCGCAGCTGTCCCTTATGGAGTCCCTTGGTAACGCAAATTTCCCTGCGGAGAACTTGTTAACGTAGCGGTCTTCTTCGGGAATCACTTGTCATCATAAGGTCCTCCTGCAGAGTTCACTTGGGCCGTCGCGGCACGGGAGTGACGGAATCTTAACAAAGACAAGGCACAACAAGAGCGCCTCGGTGGAAATGGCATTGGTCGAACGAAAGACCAAGCATAGTTTCAGAATGTGGTATTCTTGAAGAAATCCGCAAATCCAGCATAAGAGCTCCGTTGGAATTCTGAAAAGCATCGTCGTGTAATTGTGCCGGGCTGAACTGTGCTCCAAGAAGGAAATCCACGGCGCCCTGTGGGCTTCCACTTATGCACATTATAGCTTAGCATACTCAAGCTCTGACACACTTTATCCGCCCCAGACCAAGTCTCGCTGCCAGAACCCGCGTGGGCCAGATCTTCGCATGTGAATATGGAATGTCTTTCCTAAGGATACACCACTTCAGTCCCCGGAAACACAAGTCTGGCCCTGGGATCCTGCGCGAGCCCCCTGAGGCCGCGGCCGCTAATATAATTATGCGAACTGGTCAGATGACGTCCCTACCATATATCAGCAAATGGGGACCCATGCATCAATTTATGTATTCTCGTTTTGAGTTCTGTATTCTTTTCCCATATATCAAGCACATTGGTTATTTGGGGGACGAAGTACTGCCTTCCAAAGCTTACATATTTTTTCAGGTGCAAAGAATCCGCCCAGATGGGACTTCTCGAGCTTCCCGCTGAGTTGCTTATCGCTATTGGGGATGAACTTCGACAATCACGGACTGCCGTTGCGTTGGCTTCCACGAATCGCGCTCTCGGCCGCATTTTCCAACCTCTCGCATACAAGCTCAACGTGCAGTTTGAAAGCAGCCGTGCATTGCTCTGGGCGGCCTCTCAAAATAGTCCACATGTCATGAGAGAAATTTTGAGTTATCCCGGGGCGAATGTCAACACCCCCGATGACAGACATCGCACGCCAGTCTTCCACGCCATTCGCAGAAACAACCTGGAAATATTGCAGATCCTTCACACTAGCTCCAAAGTTGATTACAATTGGAAGGACGACAGAGGTCGGACACCGTTGATATACGCGCTCTCCAAAGGCCAGATCTCAATGGGATCATGCCTCTTGACGCTGCATAGTCCGGATTTGGCCATTGAAGATAATAAAATTCGATCCGCTCTTTGGTACGCGGTCAAATCTTGCAACAAGGCCATGGTAATGGAACTACTGCAAAGAGGGGGAGACATGAAGCGATCGGATTACAAAGGCATGCCACCACTGAATTTGGCCATCTACAAAAATCACCTGCCAATAGTCATCGGGATGCTGCAACTTGCTCGGAGGCCCCTAGGGTTAGAATGGGTAGATGAGTTTGCATATTGCAAGCCTCTATTCTTGGCACTCCGCTTAGGACGGCTAGACATCGCTCAGTCCTTACTGTCGCACGGGGCAGACCCAAATGAGACCGATATCAACGGGGACACCGCATTGCACGTCGCCATAAGCAAACGACACGAAAAGGCTGTTGCTGTGATGCTAGGTCAAGCGAGACTAGAGGTCACCGCAATGAACAGAGCTGGAGAAACGGCTCTACATGCAGCCGCTTACTATAAATACGATGCAATCTTCCTGCTTCTGCTAGCTGCGCCAGGTCAGAATCATGAAATGAGAGATAACTTGGGGCGTACAGCCTTGCACATTGCAGCAGAGATGGGTCACCGGTCGATTGTCAGACAGTTGCTCGGGATACCGAGTGTTGATCTTAATGTGAGAGACAATAACGGATCAACTCCTCTATCTCTGACCAATGAAAGGGGAATAAGAATCCTACTCTTGTTGGAGGATCACATCGATGTGATGATGACGGGGTGGAAAGACCCAGCACTCTGCATCGCGCTGTGAAGCAAAGGGACATTGCGAGTGCCAGTCTACTCCTGGAGGAGTCAAGACTGAACCCGAATGTGTATGATGACATGGGCTGGACGCCACTGCGTCAAGCCACATACCACGGGGATTTACAAATGGTTGATAGCCGGGCTGACGTGGAGGTCAACACGCCCAGGTGCCCGCCGCTGTTCTATGCCGCGCAGCAGGGACATTCAGCAATCGTGGAACGTTTGATTAAGATTGAAGGCATTGATATCGATCTAGGATTTCGTGGTTCATCGCCCCTCCAGGCTGCTGCACGATCGGGGCATGGGAACATCACCCGCATGTTGCAAAGGAAGAAGCAATCAATGCATTAAGACATACGGAGCACCTAATAGTGGGTAATGCTCCCCAAGATAGACCACCTTGTATTATTATCTTGTTGTACGGATGTTCAGCGAATGCACGGAAGCTTCGATTATACTCTTTTAATAAAGCACAAGTATCATTCGTATTGAGAGACTATGATCAGCGTGACGAACTGTTCTTACTATTGTATGAGAGACTGACATTTGCAGAGAAATCAAACAAGCAATGGCTCGGTCTTTCTCGAACGGTCCCATCAGAAAAACCAGGCAATGCGTTCCCATTCAGCTATAGTAGTGCAAATATTTGGGCGCCCGGGGTACGAAAGCGGACGGCCATTTCCTACGGCCTAGTTGACAGAACTTTTGTTCGGACCGGTCGATCATTGGTTCCACAATTAAAAAAAACTTCTTCTCTGGTGCTTACCTGCCGGGAAACATGTATAATTACATGTTTTAATTTGCGCTAGCATAATATTGATGCCAGTGAAGATGCTTGGCGATACTACAAAGACAGCTGTTTCATCTCAGGCTATTCCCACTCGGACCTTTAAGAAGGCTGTTTGCCAGAGGCCTAGCATAAGTGATCATACTTTCAGCAAAGTCTTTTCCGTCCAAATAGAATTTTTTTTCTAATGGCGGGATCTAAAACGTCGAGGCCAAGTTCCTGGTCAAGCGAAGGCCGATATCGTTGCTCCACAACGGGCGCAGCATTAGAGTGAAGAACCACCAATCACCATCGATGGATTCAGCAGCAGATTGCCGAGGGACCAGTGGTGTTACTGACCGCGGTTCAGTCAACGACACCCTCTTTTACCATCAAAGCAAACCTGGTCTCGCCTTCAGTGATGATCTCCATGGAGGAAGAAAATATCCTAGTTCCAACGGATACATACGTAAGGTATAATTCAAATCAACAATAGCTGAATTTTCCCCGTAAAGGGAGCAGTCACTGAACCGAATGACCGAAATTCACTCCATATATGGCTCAAATTATTATCGCTAGGATGTCAAAATACTTGGTAAACAAATCAAAATAGACGATAATGATCCGTAGTCAGACAATTCTCGATCAGAATTTGAAGATAGACCATATATTCCATTCAAACAGCATGGCTCCGTAAGAACTGGCTGGGGGGGGGGTTTTGCTTCGGTACCCGTCGATGTCATATGGGGAGACACTGGCCTGTTGAGCCAACGAGACCCACTGCTCACCACGCTGGTCTTCAACACTCGCAGGCTCCACCTATAGCCACACTAGGTAAATGGTGAGACGTTTAGCGACGACATAAAAGGCTTGGATCACCAACGATGAGGCTGAATCACCTTGGCAGCTTCTACATGGCCAGGCCCCGCGGGATCAGTTTTGAACAATATGAGAATCTGATAAACCGTTGAAGCTCAACAGTTGATCAGAGGTACTTTTCTTCTCCTAGTTCAAAGAATCTAGAATCAGCCCAATACTGAGAGGGCTCGGATGCCCAGAGTTACAGATCGTAGCTACTGTTCGCGAGTTGATTGGCCTATGAAATGTGATGAATGAGTACCACCGCAGCAGCCTGCCTTCCATCCGGCGGTAGCCTCCGCTGCGCCTGGGCTTTCTTCATTCTGCAGCATGAATCTTTCAAATTCAAACGGCAATAAGATTATGATTCAAATGAAAAGCATGCAATCGTGTCAAAATCCATCCTGATTCCGTTCCGCGCAGCTCAACGCAGTGAACGTGTTACCAATGGATGGCATGTACCTCCCCTCATTCATGAGGGAAGCACGCTCGATGTTTTGGGCAGCGCAGATCTCTGCAGGAAGAATGGATGATCTGCGCTCCCTTGCATCAGCTAAGGCATGTTCACGGATAACATGCAAACGTCACTTGGCTAAGTCTCGCATTTGTCAACAGGTGAATCATCTCAGTGGCCTTTTTGGATTGTGGCTGACCAATTCTGTAGGGGACGGACATCAGCTGGTGTCAGTATGTTGAAACCCCTTAATCGTGCGCCGCATTCGTGCTCGAGTAAGCGCCCCCGTTTAGTAGTCAGGTTGCCCGGGCCTCGGGCCTGAGAAGATCAACCACAAAGGTGTAGTTTGTAGGGACCTTCTTCACCGTTATCGTCGAATCATGGACTGTCTATAATACACTCAGCAAATTGGAAAATATTTAAAATGCGCATTGTTCCCCAGCGATCAACCTATCTTGCCGCCAGAAGGGACAGTCTACCCCCCGTTCCAGGAGACTGATGGCTAAAGGGACACTGAAACCATGTCGCACCAACTACAACAATGTCAAAATTCTTTGGAACATTTTGCCATCGTCTATATTGATCGACAGGGAAACCTTCGCCATGAGGTATCCCCTTCCCTCTTCGATAGTGGCCGATCTATCCTATCGCCAAAAGTTACCGGAGCGTTCTTGAAGGCGGTGGCAGAATCAAGGACAAGCAGCTTTCCAGAACCGCCCAAAAGCCTCATCGCGCCGCTAGCGCCAAACGTAGCTAGGACAGGAGGGAAGAGCTCAATTCAACCGAAAAAAAGGTGCGCGCGAAGCAAAGAGCAAGAGTGGGACTCCCGGATGGGCATCTTCCCCCTAACAGCCCAAATCCACGCTACAGCCGAACTCCCCATCAATCGCAGAGATCTTCGCCGATACTATGAAAAGGTCTTTGAGAATTTGAAACAGGCAAATTGTAGGGTGATCGCCAAAAATTACATAAGGCTGGTTGAACCACGTAAACAAGCCCAATATCCCTATAATGGACGGAAGTCAGTGGAGGGCAAAACGCAACAGTTCAATCCCGAAGAGACTAAGCCGCCATGGTGGCCACTTGGTGTGACTCATCGGGAACCTGACCATCTTCCTAAATCTGGTAAGTCAATTTTTTCGATTATCGATCTCGTTAATCGCGCTAATTTCAGACAGAACGCATTGCGCTCCTCATCCATATTCTTTGCGAATTACGTATCAGCCATGGAATCACCGCGCGAAAATTGAAAAACGCAGGGCGGCTTGTTCAACATCAAATTACTCCGAATGAGCGATTGCAGCTATTGGATGAAATTTACTGGGTCAGAGAGGAGGAGGAAAAATTCTTGGATGCAGTGACTGGTAGGCTCCACATATAAGTGTCTACAGGCTCTGAGCTAACTAGTCACAGACGGGAGTGCCAGGCTTCCTATATCAAGAGCGAACCTACCTCAAGACCTTCAATCTGTCTGTCGACTCAGTGACTCCCGCAGTGATGGGCTTCGGAGCAGACAGCAAGTAGACGAAGCGTCAACACAAGCCATGCCGACATCCATTGGAGTTGGTCAGAGGATGTTGGATACATCCGTCTACCAGCATCAAACTGTGAATGGCTCCTTCCAACCGCCTATCATCCAAGAGTCGCCATCTGTATCATCTCGAGACCTTAAACGAAAACACTTCTATATTGAGGATGACGTCTTACAAATATATTCCGCGTCCGCCGACCCCTATTCTTTTTCTTCATGCCATCCTCCATTACCGGATAGTTTGATGAATATTCCGCAGCATCTACGACAACATTATATATCATGGATACTGGACTGGAGCAATGAAGTGGAAGTCTAGAGTCCCATATCAGATGCAGCTGTCAATTTAACAGACTGAATACTCCTACGTTACATTCCCGGTACCATCACTAGCGTAGGCTAATGCGGGATTGGCCACCTAAGCTTCTACATTCTTATGATCTCAGTGGTTTATGACCTGTGCCTCGGTGAGGTGAGTCTCTGCATTTGTGTTCAGTTCAGCCTTTGCTCGCATCGCCTTGGGCAAATCACCTCTACCCTGTACTGTTGTTCCGGACATTCAGCTTTATAATAATAGAACTTGTGGTAGTCCAGCAATAGCTTTAGGTTGAAATGCACGCAACAGTTCTGCCAATCGCTATTTCAATGCGCTGCGACGTGTTCATCAAAGCTACAGGCTCAGCGATATTTCCCAAGAGCACGGTGCATTATATTAATCGCCCCATATAAATAGCAAACGGGCTCGTTTTCAGTCTACAGCATATCATTGGTCTGCTTTTACGCTTGGCGAAGATGTACCCCCACGGTAAATACCGCGTTGCTTTTGGATGAGAGTGTGAGAGCGCGCCCAAAGCAGACCCCGGGCTTTGTTACTTCATGCTGACTCAACAGATCAGCACCTTCGAAAGAAATGGAATCGCCCGACCGACAATTCCGCAGATTTACCTTTTCTTCTGGTGATGTTCCAACCCCTCTCATTCGGATCTCATTAAAGATATTGGCTTTTTGGGCCGTTCCGTTCTCACTTGTCTCTGGTCGACATAGACGGAATCTCACGACTTGTAATGCAAAGTGCGACACGAGTCTCCATTTTTACCAGACTGCTAGTCCATCCGATCGAGATCGATTATCACCCATTCAATTCCACGGCCCGAATAGGAACAGTCACTTTGATCATCAAATTGAGAATCGTTCCTTTGTAGTTGGGACTGAAAGAGAGAATCGGGTTCTTAAAGTATGATTTTGGTTGAACTCTTCAGGGAGACAGATTCATCATCAACGCGTCGATTTTCGGGGACGTAGGAACATGATCAAGAACCTTTTTCTGGTGGAAAATAAAAAAGCTGATGGTCTCCGCAGATTCTTGAATACGCGAGAAACACCCTTAGGTAACCTCTTCCTTCCGCGCTACTTTCATTATATCTTCGGCGCAAGGCAATATCGCTGAGAGAAGGCTCCGTACCTCGTGACTGAACATATCAATGACACGTTCTTTTAGTTCTTTGTCTTCTTGTGCATCTTTAGCAACCTGTCTTTGAAAGTTCCGTCTAAACCCTATCCGCTTATCACACTCAGATCAATCGACGTAGACTAATCGCTTCGATCGGAATTTGGAAATATCATGAATGTATTCGTCTTGAAGGTTAGATTTCTCCTCCCTTTCTTTTTTCTTACTCGTTTCTTAAGACCAGCCAATTGAATAGACCGTTCTGCTAATAGTACTCTGTGTTACCGGTTCAAATCATCTGCAAAAAAAAACAGCTATCCTTTCAAGATAAAGACTTGGGTTTTCAATTAAATGATTACATAGGGCTTTCCAAATGCACGGCGTGGTCATATATTTCCCCTGACTAGGTTTGGCGGTGCTCGAGGTATCCCATATATTCGCAAATTATAATGAATGTATTTAACAGCCTGCTTGCTACAATGAACAGCTTGAGCGGTCTTAGATATGGAAGCCCCCCTTGCTCTCATATTACAGATGCGCTTCAATGGTGACGTCGACAGTAGTGTTTTCATTCCCCTATGCTACTGCTGTTTAGCTGGGAACACTATACTCCAGGATTTTCTACTCATGAATTGTTTAGGTGATTTGCGGCTAATTGATGGCTATCTGGGAAAGCTACTATACTGTGACAACGTAGGGAAACTTACAATACCATATAGCTCACTTTCTAACCACATATATACTAGATCTCTTTCATAGTAGGGTTAGGGAACGAGCGGGAAGTGTCAGGTGGGCAGGCTTTAGAACTCTTCAGTAAGAAGATGCATTTGAATGAAGTTGGATGGGAAAACTGATGCCAAAAGGGGGCTACCCTTTGCTTCTCTCCATCCTGTATTATTTTGAGATACAGTGTAGAAAGTGCTCTCTGCCTTCTATTCTGCAAGGCAAAGCCCATTGTGAACTTCAGCGATTGTAAATAGGAATTTACGATGACGATTCCAATGCTGGTATGTGAAAATAATTCTCCCACTGAACTAATCATTTCCTGGAGCAAAGTGTTGATGAGAGTTGAAGGGGGTGCAGTGTTAAACTGGTGACGGCGTGATGTGGTGAGTGACCAGGGGTAAAGTTGGCTAGGGAGTTGGGCGGTTGGACGGATCCCAACCGTTGTCAATCTCCTCATCGTGGTGAATTTGTTCTGCCACTGTTATCTCTTTCTCAAACGTCAACAAACACCAATCATAACACCCAAATTGCAATGCAATGATGTTGACACGGGTGTAGAGTCAATATTTCACAAGACATTCTTACATAAGCTCTAATCATTTTTTTATCATGTTAAGAGACGCATAGTCCTCCTCGATAGGATCTGTAGTGAAAACATATTTGCATGAATACTTCGGGACACGTCTTCCAAAAGCCATGAGATGCCCGAGAAATATTCAATATCCCTGAATTACCTTGATATTGTATATATATATGTTGACTGTATCTCAAGTAAGACAGGAGTAATGATTAATCCTAGTCAATTCAGGCTCTGGCAAGGTTTTTAGCCACGTCAAACTTTATTTGGGGTACTCGTGGGCCGGCGACCTGTGATCGTTTTCGCTACTCTTAACCATATTAATCCACACTGCTCCCATTTCTAGCCCACGATTGGGGCTGGGACTCAACCTACAATCCAGAATAGCGGAAAGTGGGTACTGAAGGTCAACCTAACAACGTAAAACCACCCAAGCATGGGACTGAAATAGTCGGCAATCCCTACGTGGTCCGTTGAGTCAACGTTAAGCCATTGACATAGGGGAAAGTGATCAACGGTGATGTCGCATTTCAACACTGGGTATGAGTTGATGATTTAACGAATAGGCAATCAGTGTTGAAGTCGCGATAACTATGTTGATTTCGAGTCCAGCATTCTCTTCTAGACAGCGGCCAAAACACGAGACGGTGAAATTGGACCACTCACCTTACCACAGCCTTCTACAAATTTCGCCCCCACGATCTCAACGACCTCCGCACATTTGCTACCGCAGACGAAGAAAGGATGTGAGCCATTCAGTCAGCTGGAAAGTCTATAAATATCTCTGCAATCCCTGCGCTTCAATATAGCAATCCCTCGGCAAAGCCCACTGCTACTACCTGGCAAGTCTCCCACGCGTTGTTATAAGTCTTCCCTTCCAGTTTCCGAGGAAAGCAGTGCGCACTAGTACGGAGATGGACCAATGAATTCCTTGAACCGTACTTGAGATGTGTTCTTCTAAATACAAGATGATGTGTAAAATAAGGGGGTTGAATGTGCTGATTGAGCAGTCGATGCCTAAGGAATGAAAAATGATGCGGTATTGAATAAAAATGTATGGACGCTAGTAAAATAGACCTCCACTTTTCCGACAAATGGGTACTTGATGAATAACCCTGTCCTTAATGGTAAAATACCACCCCTCAGTTCGACATAAAGCTCTCTTGGGGTTTCCAGGGACACGGTGAGCTCATGAAAGAAAAACAAATTGCATATGAAGATGTCTTGGTCACCTGCGACAGTATACAGCCGAAAAAGCAGCAACTTATGTATGAACTTGCAGTTCGAAATCACTAGCACGCGAAAGCGCAAGTCACTAACATTTCACGTCCGTATTCTAGTAAATTGCCCTTTCCACAACCCAAAAATTGGTGGCATCGTTAGACACACATGATCCGTCAATATTGCAAGTGATGGAGATGAAAAGTCTCACGGTTACCTGCCCAAGCCGATCCTCGCGCAATTTGGAATCTAATCTTGTGTCCTACTTTACAATATGCACACTGAATTGACGTTAACAATGTAAAAAGATTATCAGCAGGGCCCATTTTACGGTGTATCATTGGCCCAGCCCCTGCTGATCGGTTGTAGCGCTTCTTCGATGGGACAAATTGCAGTCTCCCAAACAGATCGATCAAAGATCGAATTCCATCTACACGTCAATTATACGGTATTGTGCATATTCAAGCCCTTTTTTACCGAAGGCTCAATTTTCTTGAGGATTTTTTGCCTGAACTTATGATTAATCAGTGGCTAAAATTAATCATGGGCAACCAAAACCATTGATTGCACGGAAGTAAAGATAGAAATTCTTTTCGTACATAAAATTTGCGATCGGATGAAGATCAACTATATTCTAAATGCAGGTACGTGAAGTGGCCCTCCTTCCGGTAAAATCCTCTTCGGCTTCTTGCCATCATCACTCAGCAATTATAAGAAGACACTAGAATTATAAAAATAACTCTTAGCATGAATGATCAGAACCGAATTTCGAAGCCTCTGAGCATCGGCCTGGGTCATTCTCATACGAAGTTCAAGATTCCGTGCGTGCTCTGAGAATAGTTGAGGTTATCAATGATTTCCGAACCCTACAGCATAAGACAGTCTCCGATGCGAAGACCGCGCTTTCAAATCCATCTTTGAGCACTGATGAGAGACAAATGTTGAATCGATGCCAGCGAGCCTGCAGCCAACTTCTAGATTGCGAACCAAAAATACCTCCATTGGATCCCATTGAATTCCCAGGAAGTCCACAAACACAACTGAGCGAGTGAGTCCGCATGAAATAGTTTGAAACGCACGATAACTAAGCAAATCTCATTATAGTTGCTTACTTGATGCTTTCGCGCGGCGTCTTCTTGCGTTTCGCATCCATCACGTTGTGGACCTAGTCAAATCTGGAAAAATTGAGCACCTGTCAAGAACTCATGGAGAAAGCTTCAATACTCCACGGATGCTTAATGAGGTGCTAGAAGTTTATGATACCTATTTATTTGCGGAGCTTAACCGTATGGATCGCAATTCTGGTTACTGGGTGGCAGGTGATGCTGAACTGAAAGACATAACTACCATGATTCGTCGAAATTTCCAAGATGTCTTGATAGCACTTTGTCTGCGATAGCGGCATTCAGAAGCAAAAGACCACGACACCAGTGTTGATGCTTTGATGAATGTTGACACTAGCCCCTATTTCTGATATGATGATGATGATGATGATGATGTATTCATTTGCCTGATATAGCTCGCTCTATATATATGCTGCTAAGCGGAAGTTCTATCAGGCCAGCTGATAGCTCGGAATGTGATTTCTGTTGAGTCGCTTCACGTCTCAGCCGCAATCGCACCACCAAGCTTCGCTACATCAAAGCTATGCAATCTCTTCGTATTACAAATGGGCCAGGCGTGGGATTTGTTCGTACTCGGAGAGCGTGCCATGGTATGCCCTGATGGTTCACCTGTGCTTTCACTGTTAAGTAAACACATAGCAGAATGTATTGCAAAATATTCGAAAATAATACGATATATGTGAGCGGCTTGAATTTCTATTATGTTCCTTCCCCACCTGAGTGTACGGCATTGATGACGCAATCCGTTCAGAATCCCAGCCTATCTTTAATCCGGGAAAACCGAGGGTATGACGAGCTCAATGGACGTCGTCTGAAAGAAAACTTATTTCAAACACAACTCATCTTTCTCTACCCTACGTACCCAAAACAGATTTCTCAATTGTCTATCGATACAGCATATCTCAGTCTTGTTGAGCACTATGCCAGCATTGCCGAACGTGTTACTGAACGATACCATGCAGATAGATCCTGCGAAAATTTCCTCTAACAAGTCACCCGTGTTACCACCATGTCCCGAACCTTTTCTCTATCATGCTCCAGAGCCAGCCGCTCAAAAGCCCGAGCTTCACTTTGCTATGCCGAGAGAATATCGGGAGAGTCTTCTCGAGTATGCGCAATCTTTTGACCAACTTCGAGAAGTCAAGAGAAAGGTTTACAAGGTTTGACTTGAAGTTCGGGGGATCACCAAATTGGGGTACAGACAGCGAGTTATACCATTGAGCTGCCGACACCAAAAGCTGTCCAACGAAACAGGGGATGTCTGGTTTGAGATGACAGGCATCTCTATCACTGAGTCGCCTCCCTCTTCGGTCAGGAAATTGTCTATGGGAATGTAAAAAAAAAATCCATGCGGACAAGGTGAATGAGCTTCGGCTTAAAGGGGTCGCGTATGGAACTGATTAGGGAAAAATAAGATCCATGATGCTGGGGCTGGCTGGGGCCCGCCGGCTTTTCTGTATAGTGGATTTACAGTGGCTTTCGAAAATAGATTCCCTCCATGCTTCCCCCAGACACGAAGAGCTTTCTTTCCCCAGCACTGGGCTGGGTCTCGACAGCCAAACTGAAAAGATCTGATACAGCCAATCCCTGCTACACTAAGTTTCAAGGTGATACATTCAAGCCGTATTCGGCTTAGGATAATCGAATGTGGCACACACGAGAAGAGTTGGTTGGGGTGATCTTCTTTCAAAACTCTCTGCGTCTCAACCAAGCATCCATTTCGTTCAACGGCCCGTTTGATTATTTCCAAAGGTTCTGTAGTCCAATAAGATGGTTTACAGAGTATGAGACACTAAAAAAATATACCGCGCCTTGCTTATGTATAGTGGTTTGAAAAGTGATGAGTAGCCTATGATAATACATCAATCAGCGGGTTGGATGTGATTCGACGTTGAACTTGGCTAGCCGTTTGTCCGCGGTTTATCATTCTTCGCATCGTGGGTGGAATTGTTCGTGCCACTGTCTTTTTCCCCTTTCTTGACCTGGCCCTAAGAAATGCCAACCCAGATCCAAATATCTCGACATATCTTGATCATGCCCTTCAACAAAAAGGAAGGTGGCTCAAAGATGGTTGGGAAGTCATCGCATATTCCAGAAGCCGCGGTTTCGTTGCAGCAGAGAGTCACACAGGATAAAAGCCCTCACCAAGAGCTTTTAGTTGCTCTATCAAGGTATCCATCAGCTTTCCTACTGATTCATCCGATTTTGACGGTACTGCAGCCTGCGTCGCGACTCGAAATACAGCGTTATAACAATCGTGTGCGGTGATGAATCATACACATTACATGAATGTATCGTTTGCCCGCGATCAGCATTCTTCGCGAAAGCGTTCAGCAGCGGGCTCCAAGTGAGAGAAGGATTCTGATTGGTAATAATATGGAAGTGCTCAGCCGATTGATCTCGCTTAGGAGCCATCTACCGACACGGTCACTCTTCAAGAAGAACCATTGCTAGTTGCAGGATTAGTAGGTTATTTCTATTCATTGAATTATTAAGTATAAAACCTCGTTCCCAGAACCGGTCACGACTTTGTCGAGGAGGCGTCAATAGTCAATGTTACTGGAAGCACCCGGCCTCTGGCCTTCAGCCTATATGTTTCTAGTAAAGTCAATGGAGAAATTTACGGCAATTTAGAGTCTATTGAGACTGCCGAGGCATCAGAGACTGCATCTGATCCTCTATCGTTTCATATCTTGATTTATCCTCTGGCAGACAGAAAGTTTGCTGAAGGTTTGAAAACATTAGCAAAGGAAAACGCCAAGCGGTAAGCCCTTCGATGGCTAGATTCTAGCACGTTTCAGGATGCAATAAAAAAGATTTTCCATTCGACTACGCCAAGTGACAGAGATCTAAGAGACATGGCAGTAAATTTAATTTTGAATCATCTGAGGACTTGAGAACCAATGATGGGGCGGCTCAGACAGCTCTCCCTAACAGCCTGGTCGAGTCTGTATCACAATATATGTTAGATTTGCTTGTTGCAATGATAGACAAATCTGTTCTTGATTGGAGCCAACACGGAGCCTGCAGCAAGAGCTTCACTCATGAGTTGCACCCGTAGTTTCAATACATAAAGTAACGTGCGGAGAGATTACGAATTTTCATGATCATAACTCCCGATCTTTAAATGAGAAGACCTCGCTATTCCTGCGTGAAAAGATGCAATTGTAAATTGGAAGGCAACTCAGCAAAGGTCGATTGCTCTACTCATTCCACCTCATAAGATCACCTCATGAGAATGCTGGAAGTGAAACCCGTGGTTTTTATATCTCGCCTCCTCTGATTAGTCTCTGTGCCTCATCATCAGTCGTTTCAAAATTGACATTGGTATGGGCCTTCATGTTTTTTCAGCGAAACGATTTCCAGAGCTTTAAGTAGGCATGCACCACGAAGCCGGCTATAGCGAGCATGAATAGACAACAAGGGTAATGCTCTAGAGTTCATCAACTCATCAGCTGATTGGGTTTTTCGTTCAACTCCCGCATACATATGATATGGTGATAGTTCGTGCACTATCCTAAGCAACCTACTGCTAGTGTCCATAGTCGATTCACCCGGACAATCGCCCATTTGACTTGATTCACAGCTTTAGATGAACATAACGCCTGGTACCCAAAAGGAACTCAGCATTTAAGAAATACCGGTACATAAGATTTGCATTCTCCGTGCCAAAAATGCTATTTGATTTGTCCTCTATCACAATCACCTCGACTAGAGGAGTCTCACTCACAGGCACTTCAGCCCTACACTTGCCATCATATAATTATCCCCACCAATTATAAGATTTTATGTCGTCTGTGGAATCATATGGATCTGAGCAAAAGATATAGAGAAGCTATGGCAAACGGTAATCTCCCTCTGAATTTGTCATCGGTCCGCGAGCAGTGCAAACACAATGCGCGATGTAGAAATACCTGTGAGACTCATTAATTCCAACATAGCAAACGCCATCAAGAACAAGCTCATATATCCTAGTCAATGATAATTCCCTTGAAGATTATGTACAAAGAAAGAAGGCTCCAGACATGGCGTGGTGGGTAGTGTGGTAGGCGAGCCGAACATCGACTGATCAGAATACGGCATAGGATCCATGCGTGGAAACAGGGACAGCCGGAAGCTGGATGCCTCCCTGATGGGAGAACAATCGATAATGTCGAGCATCTGGCCGCAGATTCGGGGCAAGTTCCCCCTGATTCTTTCGACCCTTGGCAGGAAGAATAGATGCTCTGCGACCGTATTCCCGCTCGAACAATCCACCCGGGCAAGCCTGCATTCTTTCCAGCTTATCGTCTCATTGAAGAAGAAATATGACATGTAAAAGAAGACGTCGTGGGCTTAGGTGGAAACGGCCATTAGGTCCGGACCAGTCCATTTGAAGCCTGTCTGGCTCTCAAAGTTGGGACAAAACAGACATTCAATGGCGGGGCTCTCTTGGGGCTGATATCCGGGGCCCATGACTCCGCCTATGTTCGACATCTCCGGCTCGGAATCACCATAATCGGTGGCGAGACAGGGAGGTGGTGTCGGAATATCAGAGAAGTCGCGCTACAGTACGTGGAGATTAATATCGAAGTCAACATCTATTGTTTCGTGAGCGCGGTCGGGTCGTAGGATTTAATTGGCACGTACTATATTGGGCTGTTTCATCTATCTCGTCGATATTGGGGTGGTACAGAAACGCTTGACGGCCTTGAGCTGGGCTACCCTAATCCTTGACGCGATTTGACACAGCAAAGAATGCAGCAAAAGATGCAGCACTTATATGATACTTATGTGATGTCCGACAGCAATCAGGAAAATGGGAAAAAAATTTTTTTTTTTTTTTTTTTTTTTCAAAGTCCGATCAACGTATCGACACACTCAGGTTCACCAAGCAGTTGACGGCCACGGCATTCAAGATCAACGCTTTTTTTTAACCTCAAGTTAGAATTAGTGAAAATCTCAACAAACAGTCTTCCAATATGGTGCTAGGATTTACGAGTCAGTGGATTGTAAAAAATTACAGAGTAGGAATTTGTTTGTTGTAACAATGGACTTAGATCTTGGGCCCCGGTAAATTAATCTGCGGGGTATCGGTGCTGCTCTTCAGGTACGTAGCATCTTCGCAGTTAGTTTGATGACATTGATGTTGCATGGACACTCGGACGCTCAGACATGAATATGCACTGATGGCTCAGGAATGCCACTTTCCATTATCTGATGAAGAGCTGTGAATAAATGGTTGAACCCGACTCTTGATCAACGGCGATGCCGCATGTAAATACTGGGCATGAGTTGAACGTTCAACAATTGTGCAATTAACGGTGAAACTATCACCTAGACACTTCTTTCAGACGCTGATTGTCACCTTTACGAAGCCCAAAAATGTGAGGCGCAGGGATTTTACCACTCGCCTTACCCGAGCCTTCAACGGTTTCCGCACACGCAATATCAACGATCCAAGCACATTTGTCACTGGAAGTCAGAAGACATATGTGCGATGTCACAAGTTGGAAGTCTATAAATATCTGACCCATTCCCGAGCTTCTGGCCAAGTACACTGCGAACCACACCGCAATCCGACTGACCCTCCATCTGAAACGTCGTGGTAAGTCTTTCCCTTAAATTACCTAGTTCTTCCATGGTACTGACGCACATAAAAAACGTTAGACTTATTCGATTTCAAGAATGCGCACATCTTGCCATTCGATTGAATAAGCAAAAACCCTTTACGATAAACCTTCTAGACTCCATGGGCCAGGTGCGAGCTAGGATCCATGGCCACCATATTTTCGTCCTAGCTGACCTTGAATGACCTTTTTGAAAGCCTTGATACAAGATAGAGGCTTCACAGGGTAAGATTTTTACCACTTGCTGCTATATGGAATGAGGTTGATACCGTGGGTACTGCGGGTGATCAGCATAGTTCTTTTTAAGCCACCAAAGACTAGCGGAATGATTTGGAAACTGCATTCAGGCTGATACCAAATGCCGAGAGAACACCTTCCCTAACGTAAATGACAAGCAAGGCCCAAGTTGTCTTCTCAGCCCGCCTGGAGTAAGCTGCTGGCGAGTCTCTTAGTGAGACCAATACCGAAGCACAAGCGGCCATTGCTCAGACCACTTTGAAAAGAACCACTACAAGCCGAGTCGAAATAACTTTTGATCCAACCACGGTGTCAACCTCCGCCAAATGCAGTGTCGACATGGAGAAGGCTCAAATTTGCCATGCCGGCGAGGTGTGTAGAACCACCACAGAGTGGCAAGACATCGCTGCAATGGTCAATGGTCATTCGTATGAAGAAGTCTACATGGCTCCCCCTTCGGCTTCGATTGCGGATAGCAAATTGCTAATGCTAACTGGAATCAGATCCAAATCCTTGCGTTCTATGTCGACTGTAGGCGGATGGCCTCCTCGAGGTCACTGACATTGAAAAGCGCTTTTCTAATGTGATTCTGCCTTTTCCGTTTGGTCTTCCGCAATGGCTCCGGCGAGCAGACCAGAACAGCAGTCAATCGCACATAATGCCAACGGACAATACGTATCCTGTGAGTCAAATCTCTTCCCTAAATCACTCGCTAATGGAAAAAGGCCAAGGTAAATAATATCTCCACTAGGAAAGGATTTCAAAGGCCTCATATCCCTGTGGTTCTCTCGGTTTGACGTGGTACTATCATTACGTCGAATGAGGTTATGCGATCGAAGGATGCCGCGACTTCAGATATTGTTTTTTTTTTGTAGTGACAGGCTGATGCAGAAGAGCTTCCGACGCTGGAATGAACTTATCGTGTGCTGAGTCCTCAGAAGAGGTTCCTGTCAGCACGCCGTCAATCCAGCCTTAACGTGTTCGTGAAGCGTCCCCACTGCACCTTCATTTGTTGATAGGTAGGGGCTGATCACGATACGTTGCATCTGAAATGGTGTTTGACTCCGCCTAATTGTTCGCTGGACTGGGGACGAGTGATAAGGCCTTTTCGTGGCTTCACATTGTTGCTAATAAGCAACCGAGGTTGCGCGTGGTATGTACGCGTCGCGTCGACAACTTACCCCATCCTTACCTATCATACGACCACCGCTTTGTGCAGTACCCTCCATCGCTGCGCTTGGGCTTGAGCTTGACAGATGTGATGCTTCGTCTGATCGTCGCAATGCACGGCCTTTCACGACGGGCAAGGTATGTCAGCGCCACGCAAGCACAATTGCCAATTGTCTTGCCTTATGCCACTGTTATAGGAATTATCTCGCTCAGGAGGATGCCCAACAGTCATGCCCATGTTCAGTTCATTTCCGGAGCGCCCTCGAGCCAGGGGCGGGGTCCCCCAGAGACCCCCTTTATGGGGGTCGGCGAGGCAATTTCCAATTGCCGGGGGTGCCTCCATAGGCGACGGGCAAGATCCACCCATCAGTGCGGTCTCATATCACTCCTGTATGCCATAACACCCAGCATCTATTGATAGTCAATTCATCGAGCATACAACGCAACCGCACACGTCCTTGAAGTCCACTTTTGACGCCTAGTCGGCCTACCGCTTCCTCGAATCGTCAACAGACAACACCAGCTTTCGACCTGAGCTGATAGCCCAGTCCATTCAGAGACTCCACATCAGCCCCCAGGCTCTCATCAAGTAACACTCGACTTCAACATTAAGAACGCAATTGCCTCAAGTACGATGAGGAGATACCGGGATGATCAATGCTCAAATCCTTGAGGTAATGCTGCCTTGACAGCGATGGTCAGCGAGCGGAGAACTATCATCCTTCCTCACCACCTGTCTGCACACTAGCTAGATTGACACCAGGGCCCACTCGCTTCAAGTATTTCACATCATGTCAAGAGGTGAGTGGAGACTCGGCGACCTCTCCAAGAGTTGAGTACGCCAAGAGCTCGTGAACCCGAACGCGGGGACCGGCTCCAAGGGGAGCCTCGGGATCCTAAAACCCTGAGACTCAGAGTGCGATTCCTCATTAATTGAGCTCAATCACTCAGGGCACAACGATGAGGTTCGCTAGTGGACAGCTTGAAAAGCTGATATGCGATTGGGTTGCAAGGGCGTTGATGAATCACACGCGTATATCAGTCCTTCACTGACAGGTGACAAATATTTCGGGCGCGAGCATAAGAAAGAGCGCATTGATAGTGGCCGGCGGATCTTGCCCGTCGCCTTGGGGGGCAACCCGGGCTCGAGGGCGCCTTGGAACGGAATCAGAACATGCGCTTGTATGCCTATCAGGTAGGATAAGGCCTGGGTGTAGATCAAATGAAACAAACACAAATTACAAATGTGTTATGTGTTCCAGAAGATTGAATGGCTAGCGACCCGCATCCTCGCGGCGGTGTGGGGACCAGAACGAAATCAATACCCTTGGGGGATCGGATCAGCGTCACATCTCTGGTATTGGAGCTACATAGCTGGCAAGTAGCGCGTAGTAGGTTGGTCAACTCGGATATTCACGTATTATTTTACTTGACATCAATATACTCATGAGGGCAACCTCTGCGACTATTAACGAGGTTGATCGACTTCGTTCATATCGTGCATGCGTAGTCTCAGCAAGACCAGTGATATATATCCACGTCTGCATCCTCAGTAGTAGCTCAGTAGTAGCCCATGAAATCATCAAACGACGCTCAAATAATCATTACAGAAACTGAGGAGAGATGAAAAGCGGTTTCACAGTATAGCGAACCTTCCTACGAATGATAAAGGGCATATCCGAGAGAGTTGGACGTGATTCGAGCAGGAGGTTTGAACTGGGTTCAACCCCGGGTATATTGTGGTTGGACAATGTCCATCCCCTCCTCACCGCATCCTCACCACCTGTTGACTGCGGTTCAGTCAACATCACTGGTCCCCACCAGTCATCTCAGCGCCGGATAAGACCTATGGCCATTACCATCAATGCTGGATCCTGCCGTTGAATAACTGTTGACACAGTATCCCCGCATCGGCTGGCTGTTAGCGTTCGCCACAGTCAGTCACCACGGTCAGTCACCGCAGACACCTACGAAGTGTCAACGGGATCCTCACCCTCACCGCGTTGAATCCCGTCAACGCCTCCATCATCTACACAGAATGATGTTGACCGGTGCCAGTGCAGTCCACCACTTACCCCTCTTTGCATCAAAATCCTCATCCAATCCAACCGCGTTGAATCATCAGCATTCCGTCAATCAACAGAGCACTCTCCAGTCTATGGAGAAACATATCACCACCAGCTTGCACAACAAACATACCCGTCAAGCCCAATGATGTTAAATCACTGGCAAGAACGTGAAGAGCTTGCCAACAACCACCAACGTATCTCGTCTTGGTGATTCACCACATCGATTCACCACTCATGCAACAATCCTACACCTTTGCCGCTACGGTAGGCTACCATAGATAACTACATGACATGCGAATATGCTCTTCTAGCTAGAGGGCTTCACATTGATACTGGGAAACAAGAGCCGAATCGAAATTAAATTGCATGAGCTAACAACAAAACTACTCTCTAGTCTCTACAGGATCATGTGCAGGCCTTGGCTTCCCCGTCACCGATGACGAGTACTGATCCCTAGCGCCACGGAGAGGTGCCTGCACGGGCTAGAGAGTAGGCTCAAATACTGGTGCCAGCCAGCACTTGCCCAACGGAGCACATATTGATAACGCAGGGCTCATGGCTGCATGGAAGCACGAAGTTATACACTGGCCAGGGCTCAGGTCTACCAGGGAGCGCGAATTTGACAACGCAGGGCTCATCACTGCATGGAAGCGCAAAATTCTACGCTCGCTGGGCTCAAGGCAGCGAGGGGTGAGCATCGAGCTAGGGAGTAAAAGCTAGGCATGCATTGGCATTTCGAGGAAAGGAAGAGGTTCTAAAGTATTCAGTATCGTATGCAGAAACCATGAACATTGAATCTTCGCTTGGCAGTTCCCAGCCGTGGCCAAGATAAAAAGCAAACTCATGACCATGGAAATTATGTTTGCTCCATATTAGTCAGATTCAACTTAAGTCAAACTTCAAGACCATGTCTTCTAGACTTCGCTCTCACATGGAAGATGTTTGCAGTGTACTCTACTGTTATTAGAGGGACGGAAGCAGTTTGTCGCTTCTTAGTGATGTGAAAAAGCACAACACCTTCCGTAAGTGGACAATTCAATTGTCTCGCACTCAATAAATATTCTGACTCATTGTATGCACACACGCGATCAAACTCCATTGCTCTTCACAAGGGGCTTTGAACTGCCTTTTCTGGGACATCTCCATAGCGTCAGTCTAGCACAAAATAGAACAAGGAAGAATGAGTATCCCGCGAGCAGTTGACAGGATACTCGCGAGCCAGATTTGCAATACAGGCAGTTGAGTCCAAAGATGAATAAGACGACAGCTATATCCAGAAACGCCAGCGGCAGTCAGACCAACACCGTATTGAACCTGTTTGCTTCAATACTTCCTCAAAATGAAACTTCAGGATAGAAAAGGCTACGCAAGATGTGATTGAAACCTCAATAGAGCTGCAAAATAACCATGAAGGACACTGGGAATCGAGCGTATCTGCGCGTGAATGTTGAAAGACAAAGCAATGCAGTAGAAAGAGTAGCAATGTAATATGCAAATTGGGAGACTCTCACTCAAGACCTGTATTTTTCGAAAGGCATTCTCAGGCTCTGATTCAGTTGCTCTACGGTGGGAAAAGGACAGTGCGTTTGGACGTGTCTTAGCTGGCTTATTACCCCTGTTGCTTTTCATGGTGCTTGGTGTGATCAGACATAATTTAGCGATCTCTTGTCTCACATTTATAGTAGTCTTGGTCTCATGTTGACTTGAAAAGCAATGTATGCTGAAAGAAAAAGAGGCTTGGAACATTTTTCCTGATTGGATTAATGAGGATATCCTCAAATTGGATTGACTACCAAGTCCTCACTTGCAGGTAGGGATTTGAGGATATCCGCGGACTTTGTGGATTTGCGAAGCCTATCTATATTGACCGTGTTGATACAAATGGACCCATGGCTCAACATATTCATTTTGGTGTCTGATCAGAATTGTCCCTCAACTCATAGCCACGACTAATTAAAAGTGAGGTGTTGGTGGACAACCGAACAGTCTAAGAATACCCAGAGATGGGACTGGGACCACTTTTTATATATCTACAATACCTGATCCACTGAGCCAATGTGGAGCCATCAATATAGAGGAATGTTGATAAATCGTTGAAGCCCGGCACTTGATAACGGTGATGTCGCGCGTGCATATTGGGCATGAGTTGGGCCTTCAACAAATGTGCAATCGTGCAATCAGCGATAAAACCTTCATCACGAGACTCCTCTCAGATGCTGATTCTCTTTTTGATGACGTCCAACATATGTGGTGTTGGGGTTTGACCACTCGTCTTACCAAACCCTTAAATGGATTCCGCCCTCATCACTTTCGTTGGCATCATTATCTAATATGAACAATTTCTGAAAGTAACTTATTTTCTCACAAAGCGGACCATACAGTGTCCAATCGCAAGACCCTCACACAAGTGCTACCAGGATGTTGTTGTCCAAATCTTGTGCAGGGACCGGAGCTGCGTCATATCTGTGTAGATGTAATAAGTAGATATGAATTCTAGTCTAGACAGGGCGAGGAGGTGAGTTGTCGAACGGCAAATCTATCCAAAAGCGTCATGTAGCTCGTCTTCACGTCATTTGGACCGCACTTTCCCGTCATTTCAGCCCAGCCTAGCAGCATCTCCTCAAGTTGATCCACAAAGCTACTGCAGGGAAGAATGGGGCCTAAAAAAGGACTGAGACCAGATTCGCACATATCTCCTTTCTGTGGGTCACAACTTCGGGGGATCCTCGGCGATTCTTCGATGTATACAAAGCCCTTTCCAAAATTCTCCTTCGGGCATAGCCGTCTCTACGCAGACCAACACCGACCGCTCTTTTGGTCTGCTTCACACTAACCGGGTTCTTCAATCTAACCGTGTTTAAGAATAAACATTAATTTCTTCACTAATTTCCACGAGTATCTATATAATAAATAATATCTCCATTCTCTTCATATACAGGCGTACCAAAATTTTCATTTTCTTGATTTCTCCGACGTTGGGATGGTTCTGTTCCGTAGCGTTTTTTGAATTCTCTTGCCATCCGTTTTTCTTCTTTCTCAACTTCTTTTGCACGTCTATCCTCAATACAACGGTTTGCTTCTTTAATTCGAAGATTTCCACTGTCTCTGATACCTGATATTTGCCTTCTGGTATTTTTTTTTTTTTTTGGCTCGAATAGCTTTGGTGGTGGCCATTTCGCGGATAGTAGAGATATGATTCTGAATAGCTTCAACTTGGTATTCTAGATCATTTACTATCGTATTGAGAAGCCGTTTTCTTTTGGAGTAACTGTAGTAATTTTTGCCAAATTTTTCGATG